GCCATTTCGAAGTGCAAAAACAAGATGTAAACAGTATCAAACATCATTGTTTACATTCTGTTTTTTAAAATAGCGTTCCAGTGTCCGATTTGGTAATATAAACAATGGTCCAAATCGGAAAAATGGAGACGCTACTGCAAAAAAAGAAGACGGCCTTTCCACCGGCCGGGGACTGTATTATACAAAATAATTTGGTATACATGTACTTTTAACTGAATCTTATAAAATTTAATTGTAAATAGAATTTAATATTACAAACACATTTACTTGATGCAATTAATCAAGTTTGATAATCTTTTTAAAAGGATTAATGATAAATAATAAAATTATTTTGATATTTAATTGGAAAATAATCTACTATTTGAAATAATTCTTGATTATTGTTAGATTTACTTTGAACTTCTGAATATATAGATAAGCAACCAATTGAAAATAAATCAGCTCATTGTGAGAGACTTTTGGAAAAATCTTTTGAGCACTCAATTTGATTGATTTCTCTTTTATGTAGAAATTTATTTACTTCTGACATATTTTACAATATATGAATCTCATTAACTACTGTGAAACATGTCTTAAGTACGCCCGGTTTTTTGTATAGTATATATATCTGGTATTTTAAGAACATAAACAAAAGGAGTGTAACATTCATCCTGATTCGAGAAAATTTTATTTACCCAGGTACTTGAAATCACGTTTTTACGGTATGTAACTATTTCACTCTTTTCTTTTGATCATAAGTAGCGGTCAGGAATTGTAATAATAATCAAAAATATAAAATATTTTCATTTTTGATTAATGTTTGTCACTGTTTCCTCAGACATTACTCTCTCATCTCTTCTGCTAACCCATCTACAGGTTATTTTTTGTTCATTCACCTATAAATTACTTTTTGTTGCTGCTTTTCCAGAAGCTGTCTTGTTTGAGAATCTTTGGTTTAAATGAAAAATATGAAAATGACTATTCTGATAATGAATTTTGAAGATAACAACTTTGAAAATGATGACAAATTTCCAAGAGGATAATAATGAGCTAGATAATGTTGAGAAGGTGAATTCAATCTTTTGCAGTATTAGCAACGAGTTTTTGGAAAAAGAATATCCATCTATTTATACTGGCAATTCAAAATAAACACAAAAAAGAAAAAGGAAATGAGAATAGGAATTCAAAAAATCTGCAATTCTTTCACGTTATTAATACCTAACTACCAGCTGCTAAAAGAATGAAAGTTGAATTTAGAATAATCCATCGAAAGTTAAATATAATGTCAGAAATAGCTGAAACAAGCGAGTAATTTTTAGATGCATGCCAAGTGGAACAAGTTGTAATTGCTCTTTCTCTCTGCCACCTTTTTAGTTTCGACGGCTTTGGCAATGTAAAAAATATACAACTCAGAATAGTGAGAGGATACTTTTTTGAAATATTTCCCAAATATGAATGATTAACTTGATGATGGAATGACAAGTACTCTAATCACAATACATATTCACTATTCTAATGAATGCATCGCTGGGTTATAAATTTGAATCGACTAAAATAAAGATCATCCGGGATAATTTAATGTGCACGACTAACGAAACTCGAATAAATGCACGATACCATGATTTGGCATGTATTTGGGATGCTATGATTTCGGAATTTCGTTTGGAATGGATTTCGATTGTCGGGCTTATGAAATGTTAGGATGTCGTACCGGATCCATCGATAACATAATAAAAGAATACGATTTTCAATGGATTTCTACCTAATTTTATTTCCACGTTTTCTTTCCTTTTTAGTAATAGCTGACTGCAACGCTATGTGGCACCATATTCTATTTTCTTCAACAGAGACCTGAAAATCTTTGGATTGAGCTAAGCGAAATACAATCAGGCCTCCTAAATGCACTCTATAAATGCATACCCTCTTTAAATGCTCACTTGTCAAATTATTAGCCTTACGGTCCCAAAGGGGATGGATGTATTTAGAGAAAGGTGATGCCTTAAGTTTTATGTGTAGAATGCATTGAGACAAAATTTCTAGAATTTAAGCAAATTCGGGTAGCGATTGCATCCGATTATTAATTTATTTAGCATTTTTATTTAAAATTATAAAAATAAAAGAAATGCATGAAAAATTTGCTAATTCTATACAATAACTATCTGGTTGGATGTATCAATAAAAAAATATTTTCTTTTTCTAAAGTGTAAACATAAAATGTTCTAATTTATAGAATTATTTATAACTATATTACATATGAAGTTTAATTGACATCAGAGAAAGGTTCTTACATAGAGGAATTTAAATTCTGACATAGTCAGTCCTTTACAACAGCCGCATAGGCATAGAACTTTTGGCACGGTATATAGTGCTTTTTATTGGTAAATCCGAGCGTAGGGTGCTTTTACATATGTAGGTAGATCAATGTGGCTTCGATAAAAGCCGAATCCGGTGTATATGGCGCCGTTGTAAAGGACTGACCGTATATAGAAGTTATTGATAAAATTTTTTTTCAAGGATAAAAGCCAAAAATTAAATGGCAATTTTCTGTACCAAGCTTTGGTTAACGGAATTCCAGTTCCCAGTTCAAGCTTTACATTGCTGCCAAAACTGTTCGTATTCTTTGGAGTCATGACCAATAACTCCGATAGCATCTCGCTAATGTAACAAATAAAAAATTCTTCAATATGGGTTAAAATAATTCTCCATCAGTTGGGCCAAGTCTTATTACCCGTGTATCTCATCGAACGTTTATTAATTGTTCAGTAGCGAGAAGCATATTTTCAAGATCAAGAACGGCGCTTCCTTCAATACCTTTAGAATGGATCGTTGAAATCATAGTTTATTATTACAAAGTAACAATTAAAATTCTCGATAAAGATGAACTTACAGTTTTTCATAATCCATTTCATATTTGGCCCAATATCACAGAGAATAAGTTCTATTTCCAAAAGTTCAAAATATCCACCCAGCTTTAATAATCTGTCAAAACAGGGGTAAATAATATGGAAACATTAATATATTGCTTGCAGTCTAAGGTCATCATCCGTATATATGAAACATACTTTAGCATTTTCTCAAGTATTAATTATGACATAATTGTCGTCGGTAATCGAAAGATGCATATGAGCCATTCGAACCATATCAAATAAGTTTTTCTCAAAATATAATTATTCCAATTGCGTCAAATCCCATTGATAGAAGCTTACATTTGCCGGCTTTATCTGACTCGGATAGATTGGTTTAATTTCAACACCAAAGAACTCCGTGTTTGGATAATGCGTCGCCGTGTCAAAAAGTCAAGCTCCCAGTTTAGAAAGCAAAGTGAGACAGGAAGAAGAAAGAATTAAATATGAGATTAAGAAAATAATTTTAGTTACAAATGTGCTTTACCCTCCATCTAAAACACGAGCTCCTCTCTTTAGCATCTCTTCCACCGTACAAGAGAAATTAGATTCGAATACGTGTTTGACAATAAAATGGTGACGTTGTATCCGGTCGATTTCATAATCTGAACTATAATCTAACACTAATTCGGTGGAATTATTAACTTCGTTTTTATCTTGCTCATCTGTTAAATTAATATGAGTTTGAATTAATATCGATATCTATGTAGGAAATAAAAGTAAGTTAATTATTCATTAATCCTGCTAGAACCATCCAAAATACAAAGATATGAGAAAATGATGAATAAAAAAAGGTCAACAATACATGTATAATGTATTTATATTAATTATCAAAGTACAGTGCTCCGCAGAAGTATCCCGACCCCCCAAAACTTTTCGTAGATCATGTATAATGCACCGAGCACAAAGAACATTACAAATGCTGATCATGATACCTTTTATAGATTGTATGTTCATAAATTTTCACGTCCCAAATATACTCAGTTATTTCATAACACACATCTCAATATCTAATAATCTAATTTTTGACGTCCAGTGACCCAATTTGAACAAAAATACGACCATTTGATTCGTCTAGTCAAGACGAATCAAACAGTATTGTTTTTGTTCAAATCGGATCACTGGATGTCGAAATATTGCGTCTTAAAGTAGCAGATTCATTTTTTTTGACACTAACCAAAATGAATCGGTCAATTTAGGACGTAATATCTTGACCTCCAGTGATCCGATTCGAACAAATATACGACTATTTGATTCGTCTAGTCAAGTCGAATCAAACAGTATTATTTTTGTTCGAATCGGATCACTGGAGGTCAAGATATTACGTCCTAAATCAACCGATTCATTTTTTTGGCGATCAATTTCTAATGAAAATTGATCGACAAATATGAATCGTTAGATTAGGCAAATTGTATGGTATTATTTCTCACTCAAATTGGATTACTAGGCGTCGAGATATTATGTCCTAATGTGACCGATTTACTGTATTGGGCATTATGAACATGCAATACCGATATAGAAGCTCTACCAATCTATAAAAGGTATCATGATCAGTATTTGTAATGTTCTTTGTGCTCGGAAAAATTTGGTGCATTACACATTATCTATGGAAAGTTAGAAGGGGTCGGATACTTTTGCGGTTGACTGTATAATGCATATAATGCATTTAATTAGCGTAATGTCAAGATTTTTCATCGCACAAATGAACCTTCGACAAAAGGATGAAAGCATTTAATATTTTGCGTAATTTTCAGCGGGAAAAGCAACGATAATTGTGTTGCGCATTCTCCCCGATCAGGAAATTCCGTGAAATTACGTAACGTCACTTTCTGCATTTTACATGTATTTAAGGATTAAGTAATAGCAAAGATCAAATGCTTAAACTTCTAATGTTTCGGTTATTCCGAACGAATTTATTAACAACTTAATGAACGATGGAATAAATAGCATAACGTTAAAATTATACATGTGCAAGCACGTAATATATTAAAGCTAATGTATAAATAAGAAAACCCTATTTATATTACTGTAACCTATATGTTATCATATAAACAAGCTTTAGGCGCATGAAAACTTTATTTCATTGATTAACTGTCAAAACTTTTGAATAAGCATTTACGTAGCTATAAAGGTTTTTTTTACTTTTTTATAAAACTAAAAACATTTGCGGCGTGCAATAAAAACTAGAGATGCAAACCGAGTTTAAATAAATTCGAATTAAACATTAGTCACGAAATTTCCAATCACGAAAGATCCGACAAACATGCGAACGATGGAATAAGCAATGACTAATGTCGTTTAACACATTGTTGCCATAGTAACATAATTTCTTTAATTTCTTAATTTCACAGATTATTTTAATTTCAAAGATCATTTTTAATTTTATAAATCTTGTGTAATTTCACAGATCAATTTTCTTAATTTTTAATTTTAGTATTACAAATTTCATTAATTTGTATTACATTTAGATATTCGCTAGTTATCCATGAGATCCTAGTCTAATTTCTTATGAGAATCTCATTAGACACCTATTAGACTCTAGATTAGTTACTTGTTAGTTACTCATGAAAATTTAGCTTAGTTTCTCACAAAGCGATTTATTAGATATCTATAATCTTGAATATATATAAAAATTTGAGTACTTGAAGACTTGAAATAAATATACTTGAAAGTTCTAATTTAATTATCTTGTAATTATCTACAAATCTTTACTTTGATAATTATTTTCATTTATCTTTTTCTAATAATAGATTATATCTAATTAATACTCACTTTCTTATTTTAAAAGTGTTAATAATTAAAAATCTCAACTTTAAATAAGTATATTCTTTTGTTTTATTTACTTGAAAAGATTTTGCAAGCTTTATTAAAATGATAAAGCTTTAGTTTATTATTTAATATATATTTTTTTAATTTTTGTGTTAGTTTTTGTATTCTTTACTTGAAAAGATAGTAAAAAAGATCAAGATCAGAGTTTCTTAATATAATTTATAATTTATATTTTGTATTTTGTAATTAAATCTACACTTTATTTTTATTTTATGAATTTAATATAATATTTATAAATATTAATATATAAATATTTAGAATAATTTTAATTATATTTAATATTATAAATAATTAGTTTTTATATTTTAACTTATTACTATAAGTTATAATTTAAATAAAATCTATCTTCTTAAATATAATTTGTAATAATATTATTAAAAATAATTTGATATTATTATATTCAATTATAAAATAATAATTATTAATCTATATAAATATAAATATATTTTTTATTATTTTTTATTATTTTATAAATTTAAATTATTTTTATTTAGTTTTATTAAAAAAAAATTACTAATTTATATAAAAATTTTACAAAAATTAAATTTTATTATCTTGTATAATCTTAATTATATTATTATATTAATTAAACTAATATAATAATTAATATTAATATTATTTCACATTTTCTTTATCTTTTTTTATAGATTTTTTTATTAGTAAAAATATCTAGAAGATAATAAAAATAAAAATTTATTTTTTATTAAAGATTTTTAATAAAAATTAAATAATTATAATAATTAGTTTAAAATAACTATATAATTATTAATATTATTTTATTATTTTGCTTATAATATATTTAAAATTATTATTTATTAAAATATATTATTATTTAGATTTAAATTATATAAATCTAATATTAAAAAATTTATTTAAAAAAATTTACTAATAATATTTATTATTTATTATTCTAATAATTTTATAAAGATAAATAATATTTTAAATTTAAAAATATTTTTATATTATTATATCAAACTCTTATTATAAAGTAAATATATAAGTTTTTTAAGAAATTATTTAGTTATTTTCAATAATCTTAGATTTATTAAATTCAAATATTATATTAATTATTAAGTTTTTTAATTTTTTTGTAAAATCAAGTTATTTTTAATAATATTATATTTAATAAATATAATTTTTTTTACTTTATTTATATTATTAAGTTATTATTATATAATTTTTTTATATATTATATTTATATTTATATTAATTTCTTATTTATTAATAAAAATTTTTTATATATTAAAAATTTATTAATTATAATTTAATAAATAAAAATTTATTATTATATATAATAAGTTTGTAATCTAAAATTTATTTTAAATATTATCAATCTTTTAGCTTTTTTTAAATTATAATATAGTAAAATTATAAATTTTAAATAATATAAAAAATATTTAATATTTAATATTATAAATAAGAAAATATTAAAATAATATAATTTTTTTATATATATAAATTTATTATTTATTTTATTATTTTAACTATTAAAAATAGAATTAAATACTTATTCTTGTAATAAATATATTAAATATCAAGAAAATAAATATTATATTAAGTATTTGATTATAATAATTATAATTATAAATAAATTAGATCTCTTTATAATTATTATACTTGAAAAAGTAAAATATATAACTAAAAAGAGATATAATTATAGAGAAATTTTTTAATTAATAATTGAAAAATTAAAAAAAGATAATTATAAAGAAATAATTATAAAGAAGTTTAACTATATTATTTATTAAGAAAATAAGTATAATTATAAAAACTATTTAAAATATTATAAAGAAATTTATAATTATAAATAATCTAGTAAAGATAAAGATATTAATAGTAAAATAAAAAATTAATTATAATATTGCAAACTATACTCTGGAAGGTAGATTTTATCATGAATATAGTTTATAATAAGTTTTGAGGGTGAAGACTGAATTATTT